TTGCTCATAAGCAGCTTCTCTTTCCTGCACATGACAAAATGATTTAATTCATGAGATAATTCAAACATAGCTTTTGGATGAATGTCATAATTAAATAAAGACATTTTTAAATTAAAAAAATGACTGGATCTTGCATAAYTATGTGTCTGTCTAAATACTGTAATAATAATAATAAATAAATAAATGACTTTATTTTACGAGGGTAGCACATTACAGTCAAAGACTGATAAACTCGTGGCCCTCCTCTCACACTCACTACCTCTACATTAAGTATTTTAGCACACAACACTCCTCACATGTTGATTTTTGCTGAGGGAGGAAAACCGGAGGACCCGGAGAAAAACCCTTGTGACAAGGGAGAGAACAACACATCAAACAAACTCAAACTCACATATGGTCTGTGCCCAGGAATCAAACCCGGACCACAGCGGTGAGAGGCCAGTAGTTTAACCACTAGACCACCCATGCCACCCATGTTAATCAAGCAACAACTAAGAAGTGCACTCTCTATCTCTTTAATAGATAGGTAGTAGACATAATATATACAAGTAGGATTTTTTTTTTCATTTTGAACATAAATAAATTATACCTGCTCCCGTTCCTCTTCAATAATTAAMGGTTCATCTGTTCGTTCCCAAAGTCGCAATGACCGGTCATGTGACCCAGTAACCTGTCAATCAAATACTCATTAWTTGAAATTTCTTAAAACATACTGGACACTGCATGATTTCACATCATTTGCAATAGCCTACTTATTAAATGGACAGATTTCATCTGGAAAATTAACGGCATAATCAATGTTRCTGGATGCAAAAATGATGTAACAGCAAGATAGAACTACAACACAAAATCAATATTTAAATGAAGAAACAACACAGTCATTGTAGAGCTTCATACCACAAATTCACCATTTGGACTGACTGCCAGACACCAAACYTCTCCTTGATGCCCCTAGAAAAGAAGAGGAAACTAAAGGTTTATTTTGCCATTTTACAATTCCAAGCGCCAATTTGCATTTTGATAGAACCATCTTATTCTTACTTCATGTGCTCCCGGCAGGTTATTTGAATTAATGGATGGAAACRTTTATAGCAACACTACACCAGGCGATTACTGTTAGGTTTATTATCTAAATGTATATTTACAATTAGATCATTGTTGATTTTTGTATTTTTGATTTGACAGTTGAATTCTTGAATTGGGTGGTAGCATTAGCTGCAGATTATGTCTATTATTCACAGGTTTCTATCACTATATGTTAGTGTAGGAAATGTTAACTTTATGAAAACTAGGTGGAAACTTGTTTTGATAAATTTACCTGTAACACCATAATCTGCTCAAACTTGTCAGCATCCCAGTATTTGAGAGTTCTGTCTTTACTGACAGACATAAAGTAATGTGTATTGGATATAAACTACAGAAGAAAAAGATAAGAAAAAATAAATGAAAAATAACAACAGATTAAAGACAACATATATTAATAAAAATGATAGAGTACACGTCTAGATATTACACTAAATCTGTGGAGCAAATATAGTATTGCTAATTGTTATCATCAATGGTAGTAATGGTAAGTGTGGATTAGACTAAGTCTCCTTGGCAGCCTTGATCCCTTTTGTCAGGCTTCCTGTCCCTTCCAGGAAGCCCRACAAAAGGRGAGGCTGCGAAGGAGACTAGGATTAGACTGGATACTACATGTAGACAAATCATTGCAATTAATAATACTACTGGACACTGAAAATGATAATTTAAAATCAGCTACTCAGCAACGCACCTGAAGACTCATAATA